GTATGTATGATATTAGTTGTTTATCATAGATTTTTCCTTGTATTTAACGCTCAAAATTTCTCTTGTAATTAGTAGGTGCGAGATCAACGCTCCCATCCTGATTTCCTTCCATTCCTACTCCGCTTATTTCCTTGCTCCTTTCTCTGATTTTCTAAACCTCATACGTTAACGTAAGAATCCATGGCTGGTTACATTCTACAGCTCATAGAGAAGCGTGATTGAATTCAATAAGAGGTAAATGAACAACAACAAAAAAAAAAGTAAAAAAGTAATCATTAGTATAATTTTTCTAATCATCTTTAACGACTCTTGTGTGAGATGTATATTTCAGTAGTATATCTTGTACAGATAATATTCAAATACGTTGGAGATTATTATGTTTTGCGAATGATAATGCAGAAAAAAACAATAAATATAAGAAATAGAGCAGCTCTGAACGATGTTTAAACCGTGTTTGCATTGCGATTATATGCTTCACGATTACTCTGTCTGTTATTGTGAAAATTGTAAAGCTCTAATTGAATTGTACATAAGAAATGCATTGATTAAATGTGCCGACAAAGAGTCATTGCACGAGACTCGCAAAATCCTGTACTTGCAGGCATGACGATCTTGTAATATCGTTCCTTCCTGCTATTTCATTTATATATTTCTTTATGATGCGAACGAGATGTATATTTTTTTTATGTTCGTATATAGTATAAATTTATATTCGAAACCTTTTTCCTTATTCCACCTGTGATTCCCTTTTATTATTTTTGACTGTGTATTATTTGTGTATTAGCATGAATCAAAAACTTTAACATGACCTATAAAAAGATCTATTATATAGAAAATGCGTAGCTAAGAAAGCTGATATCTTTCTATATATAAACATTCTTAGTGTTATCAATGTTTATTTTAAATTTTATCACTATTAAGTACGAAAAGAATATTAAAAATTTATTGAGGTCGGATAAAAATGTATTATACATCTGATTAATGTTACAAATTTAAGTTTAAAGAATATTTGCATTCTCAAAAAATGTGCTCTTAAATATACATATTATATGTTGAAGTTACACAAATGTTTATAAAAAAATTGTGAATCAAATGAAATGAAATACATTAAATAAAAAAATTAATTTTTTGTATTTAATATTTAGTTTTTCATTTCATTTAACAATTCACATAAAAATGCTTGTGTAATTTTAATTCAGACTTTTTTAAATCATGACTTTATTGTGAATTATTTTATTTCTCTATAATATTTAATTTAATTAAATCAGAAATACTGAAAGTGTCTAGCAATAAAAAAATTGCTTGACTTATAAAACACATCTATTTATATTTAAGAGAATTTTAAGAACAATTTGGCAAAACATACAGTTCATTTTGATTTAAGGTAACACGATTCATTATATATTAAGAGATTAACATTCCTAATTTAAATTAATATGAACAAAGAAAATTCATGCGTATATATACGTATATATAAATATATATAAATATATACTTTATATATTAAGTCGGTTACACAATTTGAAAAACTTATTTTTTAATTATGTCATCAGTCAAATTTAAATGCGAAGAGGCGTAGAATCGAGATTCGTTACGACTTGCAACACATAGTTTGAAATCAAATCTTTTGTTTCGTAATTATTTTTGCATATCGAATTTAATCGATTTTGTACATACAGATATGTAAAAATATATATCTCGATATTTTCGATCTCTAAGCGTGAAACAATTATATGAACAAATAAAAATAACATGCATATAATTATTAATTAATTGATTAATTGATAATCGAAAAATTGCCCAGTCATGGATTTGTTAAAAAATAATTTATATTTAAAAATGATTAAAAAATGAAGCGGGGTTCGTATGAATATTCCACCGTTTCACATGCATTAATGTGTTTATCTTTATAGAAGTGTGAATCATATTCATCTGATTAAACGTACATCCAAATGACACGTATACATATATATATATTATACATATATATATATATACACACACACAATATATATACACGCGCGCGCGGATGCATATGTCATATAAATAAAGTATACATAATTCATATAAATATATATAAATATACAAATAAATATATATATACAAGGTGTTTCTTTAAGCTTTAATCCACCAATTTTTAAATATTTCTGATAATCTGTTAAAAAGATGTTTTGAATAAAAGTTAGTCAGTTTTTAGTTGCCTACACTTGTCTACATTTAGACGTGTTAATGTTTTTTTCTATAAAAAATCAATGTTATCTTGACTCTTTCAAATAGCATTATATATTTTTAATTTTATGGAATTACAACTATTTATCAAGATGAATACAATAATTTGTTAGATTTCAGACAAATTCTTATAGCATAGAAATCTTGAGATAATCTTTGATTGAATTTTTTTGAAAATTTTTATTATTGTAATTTTTATTATTTATTTATTGTAAATTGAGTATTAATTATAATAAATTATTATCTTTTGTTCAAAATATTTCCTCATAGAATTAGCAGAAAAAGTATGAAAAATTATACTGACCATGATGAACATCTTGTACATATGTATATGTATACATATATAATACGAATTATTGAGATGTGTGCAATGACACACGGTTGTTAAATTATTATGTTGCGGTGTCCTTATCGAATGGTAATCGTGACATATTAATGAAATGCTTTTGTTACAACGCTACAGAGATTTATTCCGGTAATCGATTCTTTTCTTTTTACCTCTTATTAATTTTTCGATTCCGTGTATAGATTTAATGTAGTAAATCTTTTTAATTATAGAAATATTTAATTAAAATAGAAAAAAATAGATTTCAATGGCTTAACGTATCATTTATATAATTTTGAATATTTTTTTAAACGTTTTTATGTTTATAAATTAATATTTGATATTTCAAAAATATTCAATGAATTTATGAATATATAAATATTTAAATTTACTAGAGTCTAAAGTGATGATCAATTTTTAAGATTCAAAAATACGTTTAGATTTATTATTATATTTTTTTTTTCTACTTTACTTTCTATATACAAAATGTTAAAAAAAAGATAAATAAATAAATAGCATATCAAAAAATAAATGATAAATTTCTAAAAAATTTGAATTTAAACATTATTATAAGTGATTGTTATTGATAAAATAACAAAAAAATAATGAACTATTGAAATTAACTAATTAGAATTAGACAAAACAAGCAAATAATCCAATTGACAATATTTTTCTGTAGTACAACTAATAATTTTCGAATCTATATTTATTAGAAATTTTGATGTTTCTTGATGAATGTTTCAGATCTCTGAAGTTGGATATCAATTATACATTTTATACATTGCAACTTCTTTAGGATTAATAAAAAATCTTGTAAGAAAATTAAATTAATACATGTATGTGTACATGAATGTAAATTCATATGATGTTGTATGAACCACTTATGGCTGTGACATTATATATGTTGAAAAGTGACCAAATTTAGAAATGTCATAGAAATTTTTTACTAGAACATTGGTTATGTATGAAATAAAAGTAATATGTAATAATCATGTTTAAAAATTATAATTCGTTAAGCCATTGAAAATGCTAGTTCCTCGTTTGATTTATCTCTATTTGATTTAAGATTTTTATTTTAATGTGCATCGCACAAAGCATAGTGATCGATTTCTAATAGAATATTTTGTAAGAAAAATTTCTACATTTAATCTTTACACGAAGCAAATTCTGAAAAATTTTCAAGTTACTTAATAAATTTTTACGTTTATTTCTTTTCCATTATCGATGACGGTGACATTCACTTGAAGAAATCAATCTTTTGCGATTTTTGTGCGAGCATTATTTTGTATCCGTTTAGCTGTACATATATGTACGTTTGTAAAATGCTATTGATTTATATTATTAAACTATACATATATATATATAATGTCGTACATGTGCTCTCTCGATTATTCGACTAGCTTTTGTGTTAATGTTGGCCGTGCTGTTGAGCCGAACATATAATTTTATTTCATTGTCAAGTATTGAGTAATCGACAACACGTCAAAAGAGAAAATCATGATTCAATCCTTTTAAGAATAATTGTCAATATAAATTTATCTCGAATTATGATTTATATAATTGTAGAATTATCGAACAACTATAAAATCATATCGAATTATTAACAAGAAAATTTTTTTTCGATTGTCACTTCATTTACTTATAAGAATAAAGAGAGAAGGGATTCAAAATAACCTCTCGCTTTAAAAAATACAACGAACAATACAAACACATTTCTGCATAAAAATTGTTCGAATTGTCGTTCAAATGGAAAATTCAATATACATACATATATATATATATATATATATATATATATATATATATATATATATATATATATATATAT